ATGTATTGTAGCAAATAATGCATAATTGAGCTTAATTAAGAAGATTTAAAAATGTCATAATGGTATACAACAAAGAATCCTATTAGACAAAAATTTATATTTTTAGAAAATTACTAAATTAATAGGAATTATGTAAACGATGTTTTAAAACTTTTATTGTACTACACTATTTTTAGAGGTTAAAATAAATTTTTGGGTAGAAAAAAATTACTATATTTTCAAAATCACCTAGTAAAAAATCTCAAATAAATACTCAAAACGTTCATAATATTAATCTCTATAATATACAAAAAGTTATGTAGTGAAGTTTTGTTAATACAAAGTTATTCATATTTTTTAATAATAAAAATACAAATTTGATCAGAAAATGCCAAAAATATAAAATCTTTTAAATCAGATATAGGGTAATGAATCCTCACAGTGAGAAAAGTAAATATCCTAACTAGCCTAACTAATGAAAATCGCTCTGCTCCCTTCAAAACTGGGTTTTCTTTTCTCTCTCTCATCATATTCTCTCTAATGGCTAAATGTTATGCGAACTATTAAGGAAAAAGAGATTTTAAAACTTCTTTATAATGGTTTGAGATATTTTAATAAAATAATTTTATAATATTAATATAATATTTTATTTGGAGTTATAATGACTCCAAAAAAATTTTGTTAAAGTCAAAATACGGGCTATTATATTAAACATAATTATTCCCCTAATTACATGATCAATTTAGGCATAATTGTCATGAATAATATAATATGATGCATATATCGTACGGTACGATTACACACAAATTTTGAATTTTAAATATTATCTAAATTATGATTGGCGGTTATTTTGATGATTATAACAAATCGTCCTATACGATAAGGATCATACAAGATGATAAGTTTAATCAATCTTATTTAGCACAGATACCCTTACTAGAGTTTTCTGGTTAACTGATCATCTAGTATAATAAAAATTATATTTTACGATTAGTTCAAAAAATATAGATTTTTCTAACTCGCAAACTCATTCTCTTGAGTGTGTGCAAGGTTACTTAGCTTTAGGATCAACCACAATACATATTTGACTCAAGAAAGATAAAAAGTACAAAGAGACTGAAAAATATAAACTATTCTTAGTCTACCTAATCTTGAGTTGATTGAGGTTGCAAGTGAGCTGTGCTCCTAAACTATTAGTGAGCAGGACAAAATAGATATGCAATAGATTCAAATAGCATAGTGGAAAATCCAATAATATTTCTTATCATCAAAATCAGAAGATATGGGTCCAGATTTACAGCAGCTATGGATAAGAGTAAGAAGATGTCACTCTAAATGAAAAAGTATGCCCCTATCTCAAGAAATATTTTGAGCAAAATCTAAAGCAAATCTATTCAAATTTGAGGAGTATGTCTCACAACCCAATCTGATATGACCTTCATACAAACATGACATACAATGTTAAATGGTATCTGGCTAAGTAGGGGCGTAAGTGAGCCGAGCCTACCCGCAAGCGGGCTTAAGCTCGACTCATTTATGGGATCACGAGCCACAAGTCTGGATCAAGCTCAAACTCGAGCTCGTTTATTAAACGAGCTTAAGTTCGAGCTTGTTGAGACTCAACTCGTGAGCTAGCTCGAAAATTATATTTTTTATTTATTAAATATGAATATTATTGAAAATTAATAATAAATGTTTTAATTTTGCATAAGCCTAATTATAAAATTTTAATCAAATCCTGTATCCCACTCGTGCGCATCGAGGTGGACGACCCGAGTACGACAGACTGTGTTGGGCTCAAGGCGGAATTTGAGCTTAACTCTCTCAGACGACTCACTCGACTCTCTTAGATGATGTGCTTGACTAGCTCGAACAACGTTGAGTCACAGACTGTTGGTGGGGGACTCGCACTCGACTCACTCGGATGACGCAGAAGGTGGACGACTCACCTGAACTGCCAAGGCTTGTGAGCCAGCTCAAGCTCATTTACAATGGGTCAAGCTCGAGTTCGAGCTCGACTCAAGCTCAAGCTCGAGTTCGAGCCATCTTTCTAACTGACGAGCCGAGTTTGATAGTGCCATTACTCGAATCGACTTGACTCATTTACATCCCTAAGGCCAAACCCAAGATCTAAGTTTTGGGAAAAAATTGTTAGATTTCTTTCATTTAAATTTTGAATTAGAAATCAAAACTTCTAATTAACTTCCGACAAAAAAAAAAACTCATCCACAAATTTTTATTTTTTCATCATCAAAATGTATATATAATATTCACAATATAGCTTATGGCTACAGTCTAAAATAGATTCATTTAACTAACTAATCATGATTGTATAAAACTTACAAAAATACATATACATACTCAAACAAATTAGATCCTAAATACATAGTTACTCAAGAAGCTCATTCCCCTATTCCTGACCTAAAACCAAATATTGAATAGGTGTGAGAAAATACAGCTCAGAATATCACACCCACCAATCTAAATTTCCAAACATTTTACTTATTATGCATTTAACTGAATTTAAAAATAATTTGTCAAAATTTTATCAATTACATAATATTAATTGCAAATAATTAAAATAAGATAGACTACACACTGAAAGTAAATAAATAAGCACCCTATATATTAGAGAAAAAAAATAATAAAATTATCTAATGCTCTTATACCATCCATTAAAAAAAGGTCCTTATGAGTCCCTGTGCAAACATATTAGAAAATAGACTCTTATGACCCATAATGCTTAGCACATATCAGATATTCAAAAATTCAAACTCTTATGACTTCGTGTGTATTCCACCACACATCAAATCTTCTAAGAATTACACATTTCAAGCAAATAACAATATAATATTGCAAGGTAGTAAAAAAATATAAATAAACTAATTTTAAAATATCACTAATTGCTTTATTAGTAGAAGGATAGAATTAACTGCTGAGCAGAACTTCATAATTTTAGAATATCACCAAATTGCCATAGATTGTTCATAGCACTATTTTGAAGCTTTAATTATACTACAATCTTATTTTTTGGGATTAGAATTATTTTCTATCACATATTTTTCAGTCTACCCAGGGAAATTCTTCTAGAAAAATATCTACATATCTAAAACTATTATATCTATAACATATATGGTGAAATTTTGTGGGTCTAGGGTTTTCCTCATTTTTATTCTACAAAATTATAAATTAAATAAAAAAATCTCAAAATTCTTGTATTTTTGAAAACTGAGGTAGATGAAATGTAACACATCACAATCTAGAAAATTTCTTAAATTAGGCTGACAACATAAAACAGATAAGAGGCACAAAAATCCCACTTTATCTCTCTAAATCCTATCCCTTCCTCTCTCTAAGTGGATGAAGAGGGTTTTAAAATAATTTGATAAAATGATTAGAAATAGATTTTGATATTTTTATAAAAATTGACCTAATGTTGTAGGGCACGAACTGCAATGCTCCACGATGGAGAACTCAGCGCCATAGTGTTAGTTTAAAATCCAAAAATCTACTGGAGAGCTCAGCGCCACAGTGCTATTAACCCAACAACGCAACACTCCCCAAGAAAATTCTAATTTTTTCATACACATGTGCAGAAGCTCCTGAGACCTACTTTACTATAGATTCTAACATGCATAACACTCACACAAACGCTGAAGAAATGAATGCAAAGATTTCACTTCATTTTTTTTTTAATAGACAAGGTCAGAAAATATGCAACTATGTGTCACCACTACAAGTATTACAATATGTTGGTATGAAACACAACTAAAAGAAACTCTTGGCTTGAAGTACACATATAGCTCAACCAATATATTAGTCAACAAGATAGTTGAAGTTAGCACCTTAGAAGTATTTCTTAATGGATTCTCAAGGAACATTTCTGAGCAGTCTTCCATGGAGCTCACTCATGCAAGATCTCATGGGATCCAACAAAATGCTTCTTAGTGGAAAATCATAGAGCACTCATAGTAAAAGCCAATCGCTCATATAATCCAATCAATTTATCTGTATAACTTAATGTTTTGCTGAAAAAAGAACTTGACAATGAACTAATCTCTCTGTGACATTTGCCTCACTCATAATCAGGGCAAAACTAATCTCTCTGTGAAGCATAGGCAAAATAGAATTATTGAGGTGAAATAAAATTTTTTTATATTTTAAGCAAATATATTTATCGAGGGACAAAATAATTAAAATACTTATTTCACTAATATTTAAGCCTCCCACCACATTTTTTTTAACGTAAAGTTCTTTATTAAGGATAAAAATTAGCTCAACATATACTAATCAAAATAAATCTTAAAATCATTATATTTATTTAATAATTAATATAATATTAATTTTAACTAATTAACCATATACTATACTCATCTAAAAATAAATTTAATTATCATCAAAATTTGATCAGCATATTATATCATCTTTTCTTTACTAATATAGCAATTGTCAGAAGTTTTTTTTTTCCAGAGACTTGAACGGGTTAAGATAAACTCACATACATATCACATAAATAAATTTTGAATTCATGACATATTAATTGATAGTTAAAACTCTCAACCAATAAATCAAGATGAGCTGCATTCAATTGCCAAAAGTGAAGGTTATACTTTGCTTCAACCACTGTCTGCTCCTGTCATTTTGAGCCAAACCGAGAGATTTTTAAATAGATTCTCATTTAAAATCTGTACAGAGAAGCACCAATAATATAGCTAGGCAAACTAAGACCTTCCTCTCCTTGGCCTATTGGTTGAGAGCTTAGGCTTCCATCTAAGAGGTCCAAGGTTCGAGTCTATTGGTATGCGTTGTGTGTGTGAGTTTGCCTTAAATTCGGCCAAATAGCATAACCCTTTTGTCAATTCAGCTAATCAAATGCACAAAGTCCAATCAGCAAACATAATAATTCTATGCAGAAAACACTAATCTCAAAGCAAATTCAATTCTTTTTAAGCTCATTCTCAAATAAAATATTCAGACAATTTCTTCTTTTCTTTTTTTCATTAATATGCAAGCTTCATTCATCATGAAATATTTCTTAAATGAATTTAACATATAAATTTTCAAAGGATAAAAATCAATATAAATAGGTATTAAATCAACAAACCACAACTTATAATTGTTGAAAAAATAAGAAACCTCATCTTCCTCAATCAACTAAAACAGCTCAGAAAAGGCCACAAAGGCGAGGTCTGGAGCAAAACTGCCTTCCATTAGCTTTCACTGCAGCCATAACCCCAGCAGCCAAGCCTGCTAACAGAATTGAGGAAAGAAAATGCTGTGGATGGCGCCCTGCTATTTGTGAATATATATTGCCAACACAATATTCTATTATCAAGTGATCATATATTTCAATAAACACAAGAGAAAAATGTATTATAATGTACTATAAATATTAGCACCTTGATTTAATGAGAAAGAAGTCACGGTAAGACCTCCAATTATCAGAGCAGATGCAACTGGAACATACTGCAAGTTTTTCACAAATAAGATCATCAGGCAATATATAAATTTTTGCTGATAGAGCAGGAATATATAAATTTTTACCGATAATGAATCCTTGAGCTGGGAAGGAGGGCCGTCACAGCGCCCACTGATGAGATCTAGTGCGTCCTGAGAAATAGTTATACTTCGGAATGTTTAGTTGGATGTATTCATCGTGTATCGCATTCAATACACTATTTTATTTTACATTGCATTCTATCAAACAGCCCCTTACTAAAGTGATTTTCAAGTGAACATAAAGAAAGCATATAATACCTATCTTAGGTAAAATAAAATTAAAAATTAAATAAAAAATACCTGTCTTAGGCCATCCTGAAAGTTATTCAAGTAATATCTGGAAAGAGCAGTTATTCCATCCTTGATCAATCCAGTTATAGTTTGTCTCCCATATCTACTCATATAATGTAGGTAAATTTAGTACTGTAAAATTAAATAGCAAGGAAAAACAAAGCGAAATAAATGGCACAGATATCCTGATCAAAAAATAAAGAACATGAATCTCAAAGTCCTTGGATTTTTTTAAAGATGAATACAATACTAAATAATTAACATACACTAATCTCAAAATAAATCCAATGACTTTGAAAGTTACATTGACAAAAATAATTGATCAGAATATCCTTCTATAATTTTTATTACAAAAGCAAAAAGGTTTCTCATAAATGAATCCTACAGTTATCAAAGCACCTTACTAAGTCTCCCTTCAAGGCAAGAGTGCCAGTATACTCCAAACTGATCTCATCTCCATGCTCAGCCCACACTAACATACGAAAAAAAACAGATTATCAGCAAACAATTTTTGTTTGGCAGGCACAAAAAATACTGACAACTTTTTCCTAAAAGGCTTACACATCTTGAACGCTTCATCTATATCGGCATACAAAGTTATGCAATCACTGGAAGAAAAAGCCCCCATTCGCTGCAGTTGTGAATTCAATGATTTCCTGGCCAAGTAACACTGACACAACAATGCAAGAAGCATATTACAGAACTGCAGGGAACAAAATTTAGGCTTCGTTTGGGACAGCTTTTACTGCTTCTTAAAACAGCTTTTTAGTTAAAAAATTTAAATTTTTGTGCTAGAAAGCCGCTTTAAGAAGCAGGAAGAAAGCCGTCCCAAACGAAGCCTTACTTGGATTTGTGCCAACATTTAACTTATTAAAGGGTAAAACAAGCATTTTAATACATTAAGACTCACTTAAACAATAAAATCTGTGCCAGGTGACTTTATTACCGATTATCATTAAGAATATATAAAAAGGCTAAAAAAGCTTTTAAATAACATTGAACAAAAACACAGATGTTCATAAAAATTGAAAAATATAAAAGAATTGTCGGCTTATATATCACCTTGTCCGTTATAAAGCCTTGCTTACTGTAGTTATAAGATAAAAAAATTATTCATTCTAATTCAGGGCAGACAATTTCAGAGTATTTTCAGTCCCTTGTGCATTTATAGTGAAAAAAAATATTAATACTAACATTGTTGGATCAAGGAAAGACTTGATTAGGGACTCTCTGTTTTCTAGTTGTATAGAATATTCCCCGAGTACTCTTTCAACAGCAAAAAAAAAAAAAAATGGCCGCTTAATTCAACGTGGAAAATGTTTTACAGAATTAAAAAATGATTAATGACAAATTATTACCCTAGTCATAATATAAAATGTTTCATCTGTGCTATGATTTGTTTAAGTAATAAAGATAGGAAAAATAGTTAATTGAGTAATCTTACTCCTAAACTAACAAAATATGGGCTTGCTCGAAAAATTTGTTAATTGGCAAACATTTATATACTTGTATGCTCAATTTTAATTTTATAAGTCCAAATAAAATAAGTTAAAATGGTAAATTCAGCGCAGTCACGCATTAGTTAATATGCCCTAACAGATAAGCATTCTTTACAAACCTGTGTAACATTTGTCCGATCCAAGCAATCAATGCAATTTGCCCGAGCAACCCCAGTCTGCTCTTGTAATATTACTCCTTCAGCATTGATAAGAAAATATCTGCTCAGCTGGCACAAAAAGAAGTTATGAAAACAATTATTTGTAACTATTGCAAATAAAATCCTCCATGAAGAAAAAACCTTCTGCATACATTAATTTTAACATTCATAACTTGATTACCCTTGTTTTTGGACGTCCTCAGAGATTTCATCATAAAGAATTTTTAAGTTTTCTAACTTTCCCTTGGCGCATTGGTAATGGAAATCGAAAGACACGTATCTGAGAATCAAACACACGGGAAATTTTATTAGTACCAAAAGTTAGTGACAACAGAACTGATTAATAAACTGCATCAACTTATAGATGAAACTTCTTGTGGCTGGGATTAGTATGACCTTAGTTAAACCTTCTAACTATATTCATAACAAAAGCTAATATATACATAACATAAACGCCATGCAAGCTTCAAAGATTTGTTGCACAATTTTCATATTTGAAAACTTCTCATATTTCAACAGAATATGCCAAATTGGTTAGATTAGAAGAAAAAAAGAAATATTTAAACGGAATAATATATAAAATATGGGGTTCAATAATAATATTTTACATATATAAAAGAAAAATATAAATGCACAAATAAATAGTTAATCCACCATAATTTTCTTTTGGAATACAAGAACAATAACATGACAGTTTATTGCAAGCGCAAAAAATATAAATTAACATTTTTTCAAAAGCGTTCTTCAAAATTGAAATAGGCTTCACAAGTAAAAGAATTAATTCTTTTTCAAAGCCTTACTTCGTGCAGGTGAATGTAGGATAACTATGGGCCATTAAAATTATTTTGCATTTCGTTTATGTTTTCAGCATGATACTATGAATGTGGGTGGATCGGTTAGTCATTATGTGATTTCCTTTAGATGTTTTAGCCGACACTTTTCAATAAATTGAGGTACCATTAGATTGTATGGAGAAGATGATAATATGATGAAGAATGAAGGTTTTGCTCATACAAGCTCTTCTCCCCTCATTCTCTTCTAAAGCTCCTTGCCTCTCTCTCTCTCTCTCTCTCTCTCTCTCTCTCTCTCTCTAAACTCTCTTCTTTATTTCCGTCAACTTGTACATCATAATTTGCAAGCTTAGTTCCAATGTCATCAACCTCCTTCCATCATGAAGGACTTGAAATTTTTTTTTTTTTCACTTTATGCAAAGATATCATGCACTAAGTTCGTAATTTGGAAGGTGGGTATTTAAATACATCTTCAATGAGAACCCATGACATTAATTTGGTATTAGAGGTATGAGCTTGCATGGATCATAATTTCATTATATTCGTCCTTATGGAGCATAGACACAAATATGACAACAAAAAGCATGACACATCATGGACATAATAATTGTAAAAAGGACAAAATAAGCCATGGATATAATGTTCTTTTCATAAATTATTAATACAAACATATCATTAGAACCAGTACTTTTAAAACCGGACCGGACCATTCGGTTCAACCGGTTTAACTGCGAACTGGCTGGTCGGCCGGTTACCGTTCATTCTAGAACCGGCTATTCACAGAATCGGTTTTGACCCGCTCGAATCGGCAGTTCGACTGCCGAATCGCAGAATCGCAGAATCGCAGAACCGATTCTGATTTTCGATAACCGTCCGGTTCAGCTACAGTGCGATTTCGCGCAGATCCGACGATAGAGATAACGAAGGCGAAGTGTATACGATCGATAGAGAAAAAAAAACCTACAACTCATTCAGATTTCGGACGTATCGCGTATTTATTCCTCTTCGGCGTATCTTCTTCCTGTCTCGGTGTCTTCGGCTTCTCCTGCCCGTTTGCAAAGCCAACATGTCTCCTACAGTCCTGCTAGTTCGTGAAGACAAAAGCCAACACCGTCTCTGATTGGCACAATATTGCTCGTTCGTGAAGCCAGAAGTTGATTTTAGCCAAGTTTTACAAGGTATTTGATTTGGAAAAAGAAGTTGGTTTATATTCTTAGCAAACGTATGCTCATGGAAATCTGGAACATGTGACACGGACAAAGAGAAAGTGGAACTACGCTCTCAAGGATGGTATCGTGCACATTAACAGTCGAGATATTCTTTTCAACAAGGTATGACTCTAGGTTCTATTTGATCATGTTTAATTTGTTCCTCCAACATTTATGAGTATGCTCTTTCATCATCCTTTCAGAAGTTTTCTTTATGAACTGGAAATAAATTAATATTGTTTACCTAATGTTTTTTTAAATATCTAAGAATCACACTTCTATTAATTGTAGTGTTCTTTTAACAATGTTCAAGTCAGGGAGATTATGTTCCTAAAGTCATCCCATTCTATGGTTGTCATTTCTTACCATTTGTTTTTATTTACTTTTAAAATAAAATCTTTGAGGACCTTTTAATTTTGATATATTCTGTCATGCCTAGTTATTAAAGTCATCCCATTCTATGGTTGTCATATATGAAATTGATTTCTGATGGGAAAAATGAGAAAGTGAATAAGAAATAGAATTTTGTTCAGGACAATTTTTTCATAAGAAAGAAAACTTTTTCATTTATAGGATCTTGTTTAAAGCTTAATATTTCCATTTTGATGAACTATATTAATATGTTTCCAAATCATACCAGGAATCTAATTCCAAGGTAAAATTTGCATTCTTTTATAATCTTAGTTCAAGTATAGCTGAACCAGATAACAGTACTTCATCCTTGTCATGCCCAGGTGGTGCATAGTTCCTCTTAAATCTAAATGTTTATCTTGATTAGGTGCAGCAAGGTTAGGTTTTGTGGAGTATGTCTTGCTTTTTATTGCCCCTCTTTTGAGTGGATCTGAATATTATTCCTAATGGATTTGTTGATAATCCATAACTGATGCCGGTTGATAAGAGTCAATTTAGAAATTTTGTAATGACTTGTTCTAGCTTGGGTATAATTTTGCATGAATTTTGATGCCAGCCAAACTAGACTTGAAGCTGAAGATGATAGGGTGTAATGAATGTTGTTATAGAATGTGTTCATCATACACAAAGATCATGGGGTTTTGAAAAGTAATATGGCATATTGTTCTTTTAACAATTTTCAATCTTATTATTTCTGACAAAAGAAACAAAAACATATTTTTTATCTCAGATTCCTTGAAAAGTTTCTTATGGAGAAAAAATGTTCTTTGTATGAACACCAACTGATAAGAGACTTAACAATGTATTTGCCAGCCAAACTAGACTTTTATTGGTCATACCTACTATTTCTACATTTCTTTGTTCGCAGTTGGTGGACTATCTTTTAACATTAACAATGGATCAACAAAACAATCAACAGGCACCTTCAACTCAAAGTGTATAGGAGAAGGTAGATATCGTTTGGAACCATTTTGTAGAGTGTAAACTGTTGATAGTAGGAAGCAATATAAATGTCTTTATTGTGGAACAACTTATAAAGACATTAATAGGATGAAACAACATCTAGCAGGGATTAAAGGTAACATTGCTTCTTATAAGAAGGTGTCACATGACATCCGATATCAGATGCGACAGAATTTGAATGAAATATCAAAGAAAAAACAACAAGCACAAGAAGACTTATCGCATAGTGTTGATTTGTTAAGTGATGAGCCAGTTGAGGAAGAGAGGGACTCATGTTCAGTCACAAAATCACAAAGTTCCAATATACATGGTAAAGAGATTGATAAAGGGAAGAGAAAAATTGATGAAATTTATAATTTTTTTGCACATAGAACAAAACCGAGATTTCAAACATTCCTAAAAAATGTAATGACAACTAAAGATGTAGTGCACCGTGCTTATTTGACAATTCCTAGGTAGTTTTATGATAGTTGCATTCCATTTAATGCTATCAATTCATCTTTTGCACAAAGAGCTATTGATGCAATTGCTACAATAGGACATAATTACAAATTACCTTCTTACTATAGTTTGAGAGTGAATCTATTACGAGATGTTAAGGAGGAATGCACGTTGTTAGTTGAATATTATAGAAGAACATGGAAAGAAATTAGTTGTATATTAATGGCTGATGGTTAGAAAAATACAAAGAGCATGACATTGAAAATTTTCTTGTTTATTGTCCTCGTGCAGTTTCATTTCTAAAATTAGTGGATGCATCTGATATAATTAAAGATGCTACTATATTATATTCACTATTTAGTGATATTATTGAATGGGTTGGTCAAGAGAACATAGTTCATTTTGTGATAGATAATATAACAAATTATAAAAAAGCTGATGAGATATTGGTCACCTTATGCTGCACATTGCATAAACCTCATTCTGAAATATATTGGAAGAATTTCTTATATTACAGAACTTGCAAGAAAAGCTTCAAAGATTACGATTTTTGTTTATAACCATGTTTTCTTATTAGCTTGGTTAAGGAAAAGAGCAGGTTGGAAAGAAATTGTAAGACCATGAATAACTAGATTTGCAACAATATTCATTACCTTACGAAGTGTGCATGACCATAAGCATGATTTGCAAACATTCATCACAAATGATTCAAGATAATTTAAGACAATGAAGTGGAAAGAGGCAGCCTCAATTATTTTGGATGCAAGGTTTTGGAATGACAGTTTAATTATTTCTAAACTATCAGGATCTCTAACTAGGTTGTTAAGAATTGTTGATGCAGATGAAAAGCCATTTTTGGGATACCTTTATGATGGTATGTATAGAGTTAGAAAAGCAATGACGACCATGTTTAGAAATAGTAAAAGAATGTACAAGTCATTCACTAATATCATAAAGAGAATATGAGATAATCAACTAAGATAACGAATACATTCAGCAGCTTATTTTCTCAACCCTCATTTTCAGTATAACAAGAAAAATTACTGCAATAAGCCTGAAGTTATGCAAGATCTAATAGAATTGATTGGTAATAAAGATATATGTGCTAAACCATTTTTAGCAATGAATGAGGTGAGGCAATTTCATGATAATTTTGAAAGTTTTGGGAAGCCAATTGCATTAACATTGGCAAAAGAAATTCAACCTGGTAAGATGAAAAATTTTGAGATTTCATTTGATATTTATGTGAACTCTAATGCTTTCGTTTACAATGAAAATATTTTCACAAACCAATGCATGTTTATTGATTTGTAGATGAATGGTGGAAGATGTTTGGCTCTAGTGTACCAAACCTACATAAAGTGATTATTAGAATTCTTAGTTAGACATCATCTTCATCAAGTTGTGAGAGGAACTGGAGTGTGTTTGAACAGATTCATACAAAAAGACGAAATCTTCTTGAGCAC